GTTGGGGCAGACCACTGTAAGGCTTGATCAAAAGGGAGCTGATTTAAAATGGTCTTAAAAGCCAAGCATTTGCAAGAATCTTTTAACCAGGGGCATAATACAAAATAGTAGGGTCATCCACATTATGATCAAACTATTTCCAAGCTCATACCAAAGAGAATCTCCTCCAAGACCCTACCACCAAATTAGGAAAAAACAATTCACACAGGGGCAAGCTCTCCGCATACTTTCACAATCCTCCAGGGGACCTCTCTTCTACGTAGGTAATCTTCGAGTTCGAAATAAGTATCAGGGAATCATGCAAGCACAAGACTCAACCATCGTGTGACAAACAACCTTGTTGCAAAAACAAACCTCCATACTTTAATCATCTACGACCCATCACAAGGGCACTATTCAAAAAAGCATTCAAGTCATAATCATAAAGCATAAGGTTGCATAAATCATGTGTTAGGGCTCTTCATTCCAAAACCAAGCTATACTTATCATCTCATCCATCTGATGAAGTCCGACAGCATGGGTCGAGCATACCTCAAAAGGCCCAATTACGCATTCACATTTCAAAGTCCAACATACATTCACACATCCAAGTCATTCATTACATACATCAATCAATCATCACATTTCATGCATCAATCAATCATCTCATTTCATGTATCAAACAAATTTGCACGCATAGCATAAAACTTTGCATGTGAAGACAATCATCATAGTCAATCAAGCTACAAATTCTATGTTGAATCTCAGTAGTAGATTCCCCCGGTCGATCACAGTAGTTGATTATCCGGGAGACCTCGGCAGAAGATAATTCTATGTTGAATCTCGACAGTAGATTCTCCTAGTTAATCATGATAGTTAATTATCCATAAGACCTCGGCAGAACGTAATTCAAATTGAATCTCGGTAGTAGATTCTCCTGGTTGATCATGACAGTTGATTTTCCAGAAGACCTCGACAGAAGACAATTAAAATTGAATCTCGGCAGTAGATTCTCCTGGTTGATCACGGAAGTTGATCATCCAGAAGACCTCGGCAGAAGGTAATCTCCCAACAAAATATCGGTAGTAGATTCCCCTGGTTAATCATGGTAGTTGATTATCCAGAAGACCTCGGCAGTAGGTATTCCTCAAACGAATCTCGACAGTAGATTCCTCGGAAATCTCGGCAGTAGATTTCCCACTAAGAGCCTCACATCAAGTATGACATACGCATAACCATATCAAAATCTCAAGAAAGTTTACAACATTTGGTGCATCGAACATACATAAACACGAAAGAGCATTTGATAAAAGCATGAAAATGCATTTTTGGTTAGAAGAGCATCGAAAGAGCATCCACGCCTACGTCTGCATCCATGCCCACGCCTACGTCTACGATTGTGTCAACATCCACGCCTATTTCTACGCCTACGGTTATGTCAACATCCACGTCTACGTCCATACCTACGCATGCATCGATGATACAGACATTGAGATCTTGCTGACACTTTTCACCAAATTTAAATCAACTTGAAGATACAACAAATGGCAACATATAACATTAGGGAGTTGGTGGCTACGAGAACCTGATGACTTAACAAAGGAGAATTATCAAAAGCATTTGCAAAATATTTGGGGCATATACAAACATTTGGAGCATACACATGCAAACATTTGGGGCATACATCACACTTGGATAGCATATCAATTTAGGGCATTATGCACGCATGGCATCTTACAAAGCTACTTTGGTTAAAATTTTGAGTTTTCTTAGGGTTCATCTTTAGCAGGATTATTTGTGCGAACTATATAGTTTAAACTTTAAAATAATTTGGGGTTTATTTTCTTCATGTTGATAATTATGGTTGAGACGACACAACCAATATCATCGTGAGTTTGGGGTATTTTCTTCACGTTGATAGTTGTGGTTGAGGACAACGCAATCGACATCGTCAGTGAATTTGGGGTTTATTTCTTCATGTTGATAGTTATGGTTGAGGATGACACAACCGACTTCTTCATAAATTTGGTGTTCTTCACGTTGATAGTTGTGGTTGAGGACGACACAACTGACATCATCAGTGAATTTGGGGTTTATTTCTTCATGTTGATATTCTTGGTTGAGAACAGACACGACTGACTTCATCAGTGAATTTGGGGTTTATTTCTTCATGTTGATAGTCTTGGTTGAGAACAGACACAATCGACTTCATCGGTGAATTTGGGGTCATTTCTTCATGTTGATAGCCTTGGTTAAGAATAGACACAACTGGCATCATCAGCGAAACTTCGGTTTCAATCTTCAAACCTAGCATTTTTATGCTAAACAATTACCTTGGTTGAGAACAGACACAACCGGTTAAAAAATCGATCCTATCTTTGATCTAGTTATCTAAAGATTTGATCATCAAAAATCAGCTTTTTTATCTGCGATATGACTCATTGCATCAGTCTCCATGCAACAATGTGTTATCAAGCTTTTTCAATCATCTACCCCCTAGGTTGTGGTAGATGTGAGAATTTCCAAATTCATATTATTCATTCCCTAGGTTGCAATGAATACGTGAATTCATCCTCGTATTGTTTACTCCTTAGGTTGTAGTAAACATGACGAAGTCGACAATATAACTCATTGGGTCAGTCTCCATGCAGCAATGTTGTTATCAAGATTTTTTAATTATCTATCCCCTAGGTTGCGATAGATATGCAAATTTTCAGGGTTATATTATTCATCCCCTAGGTTGTGATGAATAACATAAGCCGACCATGTTGTCTTTTATCCCCTAGGTTGTGATAAATACACAGGTTCCTCCTCTGTGATATAGCTCATTACGTCAGTCTCCATGCAGCGATGTTGTTATCAAGCTTTTTCAATCATCTATCCCCTAGGTTGTGGTAGATGTGCGAATTGCCAGATTCATATTATTCATTCCCTAGGTTGCAATGAATACGTGAATTGATTCTCGTACTATTTACTCCCTAGGTTGTAGTAAACATGACGGAGTTGGCAATATAACTTATTGTGTCAGTCTCCATGCAGCGATGTTGTTATCAAGCTTTTTCAATTATCTACCTTCTAGGTTGCGATAGATATGCGAATTTTCAGAGTTATATTATTCATCCCCTAGGTTGTGATGAATAACATAAGCTCTCCCATGTTGTCTTTTATCCCCTAGGTTGTGATAAATACACAGGTTCCTCCTCTGTGATATAACTCATTGCGTCAGTCTCCATGCACCGATGTTGTTATCAAGCATTTTCAATCATCTATCTCCTAGGTTGTGGTAGATGTGTGAATTTCCAGATTCATGTTATTCATTCCCTAGGTTGCAATGAATACATGAATTCATCCTCGGATTGTTTACTCCTTAAGTTGTAGTAACATAATGAAGTCGGCAATATAACTCATTATGTCAGTCTCCATGCAGGGATGTTGTTATCGAATCTTTTTCAATTATCTATCCCCTAGGTTGCGATAGATATGCGAATTTTCAGGGTTATGTTATGCATCACCCAGGTTGCGATGAATAACGTAAGCCCGCCCCTCATTGCGTCAGTCCCCATGCAGCAATGTATTATCAAACATTTTCAATCATCTACCCCCTAGGTTGCGATAGGTGAGAGAATTACTTTTTCAAATATCTATCCCCTAGGTTGCGATAGATATGCGAATAAATCTACGTAATCCATTGCACCAGTCTCCATGCAACAATGTGTTATCAGACTTAGTTTTATCCATCCTCTAGGTTGTGATGAATAGACAAAATCAAATCAAATCAAAACTTACTATATTAGTCTTCAAGTATTAGTAAGTCAACTCTTTTTTTCAAAACTTGTATTTTTGTAAATATGCAAAAACATTTTACAATCTCTCTTAGATACTGATGAGTTATCCATGTCGTCATATCTAAGTTAAATCAAAACTTTGATTCAAACGCTGGTAAGATGATGCGTCATCATCTATGACTACTCTTCATACCCATGGGGACGTTGTACAATGTATCCTCATAATCTTTCAACTTGTGTTGTTTACCTCCTAGGTCATGGTAAATACGCAAAAAACTACGATCTCTTTTCTAGGTATTGACGAGTCATCTGCGTCGTCATATCTAGGTCAAACTTACTCTTCAATCATATTTCTTTATTCAAACTCTGGTAGGATGATACATCATAATTTTTTCCTATTTCTTTATTCAAACTCTGGTAGGAGGATACATCATCCTCCTTGCCTATTTCTCTAAGCTCTGGGGTATGTTATATCAGTGTATCCTTGTTTAATAAATATTGGGTCCAAATTTTGGGGTCTTTCATTATTTAATAACCCTCTGATTCGAATGTGCGAGACCTGCGCATTCTCGCACCATTCAATTGAAGAGTGATTAAATAGGGTCAGTTGTCATACCCCAAATTTGCCTACCATTTTATTTCTACAATCTAGAATATTATAAAACATTGTTTTTATAATATTATTTGATTTTTATAGATGTTCATTTTTTAAACTTTATTTTTATAATATTATTTAATTTTTATAAATATTCGCTTCCAAACCTATTTAAAAATATAATGATTCATTTTAAAATTATTTGTATTTTTAAAATAGCAAATATCTGTATACCTTTTATATACTTTCAATTGAGTTTATTTACAAATGAGTAAAACAACACAATTGGTAAAAAATGAAGCTCGCAAGAATTAGATTCGCAAACTTTTAAAATCCTGTACCAAATTTCTCACAAATAGTATTTTCAACCGCATATCACATTCACTCACATACGCATCCATCGCCAATTAACGTTCAAGTTTTGCAATAACACCATAGTCCTTCTTTCCAAAAGAAAAAGTATTTTATAAACATGAAACATATGCATCAAGAATCATCATCATCACTTTATTTTAAAACCTGTAATAGAAAACTAAACAAGGCTTGGCCTTCAATACAAATCGAAAACACTTACCATTAGCAATTTGTACAGTGTTGCTTTTTGCAGAAAAAACAAAAAGAGAAGAAAGTGAAAAATGCTCCTAAAGCCAACGTGAGACATCAACAGTCTCGACACGACATAACCAATCGTCTTCCTCTGACGGATCTACAAGTTTCTCCGTCGTTCGCAGCCACCAAGCCTCTTCCCACAGCGACACAAACACTTCCGCTTCTTTCCGTGTGAAACCGACACCGCCAAACTTCTGTGAGCGATCGAGTCACTCACAACAGCACCACGAACCGAGTCAGCGAGTTCCTGTAACGCTCGACCGTGCGATTGCCTTCCCACTTCTAGCCGCGCACATCGACTGCATCAAAAGAACGGCCACCAACTCCCTCTGTCTCCATCGTCGGTTGCCCCATACCATCATCAACAACCCCAACTGCAACACCGCGACAACCGCCAGATCGCATCTTCCCTCTCCAACGAAGCCTTTCCTCTTCTACCCCTCTGCGTTACCCTCAGATACCATGTGGATTTCACTATTTGATTTTTATTTAATGAGAAAGATGAGTTTTTTTATAAACCTTTGCTGTATTTGGCTGTTTGAAAGATAAAGGAAAAAGAAATTGTGAAAAATAATGAGTATGAAAAGAAGGAGAAAACGATAGAGCATGGAAAGAATTGGTCATTGTTTTGTTTTTTTATTTGCTTTATTGCTGTCAGGTCACATAAACCTTGTTTTGTTTTTTGTTTTTTAATTAATCCTACATGCCACGTGTCGATATCTAAATGGATGGTTCTCTTATTATTTGAAAACAAGAGATGAGAAGAATCAATAAGACTAGCGGTGCTTCAAGTACTGATTATAAGCCCTCTTTCTTTTTTTAGTTATTTATTTATGTAGATTAAATCAATTATTAAAAGCAAAATATATAGAATAAAACACACCATATCTTCCTCTTTACGCACCGTCTTCTTTTTTTTATTAAGTTATTAGGGTATTAGTAATTGGGACCTTGGGCTATATGTTTCTATTCTTTTACTACTGAACACCATATTTATACTAATACACTCCCTGTGTCTTTAAAGTTAATTTTATATTTTATGTCTTTTATTTTATTCGCTTTATCGTAATTAATATTGTTAATATTTAATTTTACAATTATTTTTTGATCTAACTTGATCAGACTTGGATCGTCACGGCTGGCTCCGAGCTGAAGTTTTGAACGAGGTGGGGGGTACCTGCAAGGCACTCCGATGCTGAAGTAAGTAAGAGCACGAGCAGACAATAATATGAGTATGGGTAAAAGAATGAATACCTGACCCTCTGAGAACAAAGGGTATTTATAGCCCCCAGCACTGGGCCAAGGTTCCTTCATTGGGCCGGGCAGGTTTGGCTCAACGGAGGAACTGCCAGGTTCTACGTGCGTAGTGGGGACCCGCACGTGACCCCCTTCCTGGATGTTCTGCGTGAAGCACGGACGGACGAGGACGCGGTCTTTTCGGAATCCAGGTGATGGCGTAGTTGATAGAGTCTGCCCTAGGAGGGGTGCTCGAGCTGAGGTCGAGCAGGATTGCGTGGAGTCGAGGACGTCGTACTAGCAGAAAGTGCCGGGAAAGGGTATGGCCTTTTGGTCAGCGTAACCCTTTGTAAGACCGTTTGGATTGGGCCTTCAACACTGCTTTTGGGCCAGCCCGACCCAGTCCAGAATAGGAGCCCCCCAAGTCGTGGTTCCTGTAGTAGGAGCCATGACTTGATCTTAGGTCGCCTGCATCGCGGGGTCCCGTTCCCGGCTAGAATATGTCGTTCTGGTGACTTACTCGAGGAGTTTTTTCTCGTGTCGGGCATACGAGATGATGCCGCGCGAGGAGCGCTCGGGGGTCTCGACGGGCTGTGTTCGTCGGGCACATGAGGTATCTCTTGGGAATCGTGCCGCCACCCTACTAATGATAGGGTCACCATTGCCTAGAGGAGCTACATGTCGAGGAGGGAAGTTTTGTGGTTCCCCGAGGTGACGTTTGGTATTCCACGTCATCACTATAAATAGGTTGTTTTGGGCCCCAGAACGTGTTTTCCCTGTTCGCGCTTCTCCTCTGCACTCTGTTACTGCTGTTGCTGTTCTTCCCAGATACTCATAGGACCGTCGTGATCTCCATCGCTGATTTCCTTTCTCCGTCGTCACATTACCTTCCTGATTCCAAGTAAGTGCCTTGTCTCCTTCGTTTTTCCTCCGTGATGCATGATTTTCATTGTTTTCAGATGTTTTAGAGACTGTAAGCCTGGGGTTAGCCCGGTAGATTTATGCTTAGCTCGACAAATCCATGTTTATGCCCGGCGAACGCATGTATGCGCCCGGTAAACGCATAGTTTAGGTATTTGACTCGCAGTGCTGCCCGGGGACTTCATGACTCAGGGCGCCTAATTCTTGGTGGTGCTCGGTGAACTCATGGCTCTAGTTTTGAGACCCATGACGTTGCTCGCCATGTTCGTAACCTGGGTCGACACGTTCGTGAGTGGTCGAGATGTTGGCCTATTCAGGCGCTCTGTAGCTTGTCGTGGTGACTGGGAGTCGGGGAGGTGACTGCTCTTTTTTGTTTCGAAACACCACTTTGTGGTCGCGCATGGAGCGACGTGGTTTGTCGTGCCCTTCATCTCGTTCGTTATAGCGAGCGTGTGGTTTCTCTCCCAATTGATTGGCTTCCCGTGCTTTGTAGGTAACCATGGCGGACGAATCGTGCTCTTCAGGGCGCCCCGAGGTGGAAGAACAAAGTGCTGATGAAAATGTGAATTTGGTTGACACCATAGAGGACCCTCTGCTGGACTGGGTGGGTGCCGAGCCCAGAGGGATAGCTTCGGCCTACAATCGACGTAGTCGAAGGGCGTACACCATTCTCGAGGCGGGCAGCAGCCAATCTGATTTCCAGAAGAACTTCGTTGTCACTCGACCAACTTTCACCGCACGAATCTGCTCGGAGTTCCCCGAGTATGGATTCCCTATGTACGAAATTGCCTTCAAGGACCTTGGGTTGCAGCTACCCTTCAGCGATTTTCAGGTCGGGGTCTTCGGCCATCTGGGGCTGGCCCCGTTGCAGCTTCACCCAAATTCGCTCGCTTTCATCCGGGCGTTCGAGCTAACTTGTCGGTTTCTAAGGATTGGGGCGACCATACCCCTCTTCTTCAGAGTCTTCCACCTACAGCGCCAATCCCGGGGAGGTAAGCATAGCTGGGTTTCCCTGAAACAGTCGAAGAGACTTTTCAGGATGTACATGGATTCCGTGCGGGGTTTCAAGGACAAGTGGTATATTGTGAGGCTAGTTACCGCAGCGGGTTTGGAGTCTGTGTACGAGGAGGAAGCAGTCATAACTGAGGACCACGGGGAAGCCCTTTTGGACGACGAGGGGCATCCAGTGTTAGGGCGCGTGGCCAAATTTCCCCTACATTGGACCTCGAGGCACTACGAGCATGGGACCGGGTACTACCACACGTCCGTGGGCGAAATGAGCTCTGAAGACGAGAAGGCTTATGGTACCCTCTGTCGGTATGTCGACAGTTTCTTCCCCGCCAGATGGGCCACGAGGGAGGGGGAGGATATCCTTGACGAGGAAGGTTATCCGACCTTCGAGGCCCGACCGATTGACACAAAGGCACTTGTAGAGTGCCAGTCCTTCGGGCAGGCTGCGAATTTGCTAGGTCGTTATCGTTTGTCTTGTTGAATTTCTTTACCTGTTATTTGTTCGCCTATTTGCTCATCACTAACCCGGGGTTCTTTCATGCAGGTTCGATGGTCGGACGAAGGGAGAGGCTCTTGAAGTTGTCCTGTGACAGGAAGGTGAATAAGAGGGTGGTGAGACCTCCTCGGGCGACGAGGATGGGCCCGCCACATAGCCCGGGCATTTCTTAGGCGACGAGGGTGGACTCGCCACCTAGCTCGGGATCTGCTTCGGGGGAGATTCCGGACGTCCAAGAGGTCGAGCCACACACCGACCTGATACAGAGGAAGAGGAATCGGGTGGAAAGTCAACCGGAGGTCGGTGAGGACTCCAGCACTGTGAGGTCCTTCGGGTTGCCCCCTTGCTTTAAAGAGGAGGGTTTCTTCGAGGGATTTCCCTTGTCCGTGAGTCCCGACGAAGCTGAAACCATCATGCGGATGAACAAGGAAAGTCGGAGAAGGCACCTGGACGCCAATATGGCCGGGCTGGTGAAGATGGTCGAGATGGCCGTTGTACTGGCCGAGGAGGGGGAGGACGCTGACCGTATCAAAGAGTTGGAACAGGAGAAAGCTGCCCTCACCTCGAGTTCGCGAAAGTTGAAGGCTGCTCTGGAGCGCTCCGAGGAGATGTTCCGCGAGCAAGCCGAGCTGCTGGCGGCGGAGATAGAGTTGTTGGCTATGGAGAAGGAGAACTCGGGGAAGCTGGCCGAGGAGAGAGACCTTTTCGTGCGGACCGGGAACGTCTGGAAATTGACAATGGGCGCCTCGCTAGAGAGATCGAGGACCTGAAGGCCGCTATGCTTCCTGCCAAGGACGAGTCGGAGGATACGGCTCCTTTGAGGAGTCGATCGGAACTGGTCGCTCGCATCTAACTTCTCGAGGGGGATTGTGTCGGAGCTATGGTGGACGGCTTTGAAGCCGCGGTCAGCCAGCTTTCCTTGTTGAATCCCGGCCTGAACACTGAAGGGGTGAGCCATATGTCTCAGATTATTGACGGTCAGGTCGTGCCTCCGCCCGACTCTCCTGTTGTTGGTGATGGTAGCTCCGGGGAAGCTGAACTGTGAGATAGTGATGGGCCTGCGCGCCTTTGTTGATGTTTATTCTGGGGCCTGCGTGCCCGTTTATATTTTCTGGGCCTACGTGCCCGTTCTTTGTATTTCCTGAACATCGCCGGCCTTTTTGGTCGGTTTACATTTATTTGCTTTGTTGCCTACGGGCATTTTGAATGAATGTTTTGTTTCAATTTTGATTGTTTTCCCGTGCTTGTGTTTTACGTTTTTGCACAAAAATTGGCCTAAGTTATGGGCCCGAGGTGTGCCCGTATATGGTTGTGACTTTGCTGGCAAATTTGCCTAAGTCTTTTGTTCGTGTGTGTACTCGGCCTCCTCTCGATGGCCAGAGTCGCCCAAGTGGTGACCTCGAGGGGAGAGGCTCCTTTTTGACCCTTTTAGATGGCCCGACGTTCTTCGAGATTCTCCGGGCATGCAGAGCGAAGCCGCTTGGTCGGGTATATGACCCGGTCGGGGTTATTTTCCCGCGGCGTGAACTGCCCATCGCGAGCTGTGTGTTCTGCCCTACAGGTACTTCGACGGTGGAGCTCGGTAGAGGTGTCCGTGTCGGGCACTATCGTTTGTTCTTGTTTGGTTGAACTATGTTATGTGGTTTGGACGTAGGTCGGGCCTGTACCTCGGCCTCTCTACGGGGGTCGGACGTTTCTCCTCGTTGACTGCACGCGGGGATCGGCAATCGAGGGTCCTCGG